CTATGTTCCTTCAGAAAGGGAAACTTTCGTCCTGAAATGAGAGGAGCAAAGTTCCTACGTCGTCTACATCTCATTATGCCGGCCTAGAATCAAGCAAATCGAGCTCAATAAGGCTTGACGAGAACGCTACGTCTATTGTACGGGGCAAGAAGAGCAACAAATAAAAGCGTAACACGAGCCTTCCCCGAGCTGTGATTATTTCCGAAGCCAGCTTCCCCCCCCCCCCCCCCCCCCCCCCAGGTAAAGAAACTTGCGTTTTGAAAGCAGTCACTCAGTTTTCTCGTTGTGAGCACTGCGATTTTAAAGGGAGACAACCGATACCCAGTTACTTCGCGCACTTTACGCCGTACCTTTGCTATTCCGCGAACCACAATTCCTTCGTCGACCACGCATCACGGAGGAGAAGTAAACCACTAGCAAAACCAAAAGCCACCCTCAAAATAGCAAGTTCGAAGCAGCCTACTTCGCTCATTGCTGCATGGTAAAAATAAATTCTGGCGAAGCGTGAAAGAAGGTTAAGACGCTTGCCACCAGATAGCAGGGTTAAGCAGAGTAATTGCAAGTAGCTAGACTCGGTGGCGCTAGCTGCCGCCAAATTCATGTACTACAAAAAATATGTTTATTTTCTCACGCCACCATCGCACTACAGAACCTTCGGGCACCTTTATTATAAACACATGTAGATACACTACGTGGTCTGCAAGCATCAGCCGAACATAAAATTTGAGCCCATACACATACACGGCACATGCAAACATCAATACAACAGCTCACACACTCGACTACCACTTCGAGCTCTGCAGTTCCGCTTTTTATACTCGTCGTTTTGAAGGTACGGATTTTCTCGGTTACCACCTCAGCAATAACAAACATTCCCAGCACGTTGATTTTTTTTTTTTTTGAGTAATGCCATAAATTTGCTTTTGAGAATCTTTTTGAACGGCTCAGGGGATGAATCTCTTAGTAAAATGTAAATGCTCGTGCTAAAATTATTTGAAAGTCAATAAAACAAGCTGCTCCACTGCGGTTCCAAGCGATGTGTTTGTTTCCCCACACGTCACGTCGTAGCCAGTTCTTCTATTGTAGTATTTGCTTTTCTATTTGTGCTGTTTGCGCGAGGCTGCAATTGTCGTCTTCAATTAATCTCTTAGAGCAGATATTCATTCAGCTGGAAGCGATGCTTCATGGGCAGAGAAATCGCTTTTCGATCAACTTGAATACAGTCAAAGCCGCGACTTGCGGCAGGTGTTAGGTGCACGGAGCTACGCTATGGTGAGCTAAAAAACCTCTAGCGCTCATCCCAACGCGCCACTTGGAGGGAAGTTTCGCCAGGAAGCGAAGTATATTTAAACAGCAGCATAAAGGTTAGTCTTTTTTCCGATTTTACCTAGTTCTTTTTATAATGCTAAAATTCTAAACAGTAAATATATGTAATTTCCGTCATATTTCCATACTGCTCAGTCCTTTACCCAGAGCGCAATGGCTCTTGGGGTGGAGGCAACAGGACATCGCAGGCGACAGTCACATTGGTCACTGTACGATAGGAGCTACGGTTCAAACCAGCGTTCGAACATGACTATCCGCAGGTCGGTCGACTGCACCGTGATCCCTCAAGCGGCCTGTAACTTTTTAATGTAGAGCGGATTGTGCATCTGCGACACCTTGCCCCCTCCAATCACGGCCAGACCAGCGGCATCAATGGCCGACAGTTTACGTCATTTCATCTTTTTGTTTCACCACTGATACGCGAACACTCGGTCACATTGGTGATAATTCCCATCTTCTGTTCACAACGCACAACACTTATATTGCGATGTTGCTGCTATGTTGCTGAAACGCAGAAATACAGAACCACATTGATTTCCGGTTGGCACTCGGCATAAAAAAAAAACCGGATCTCCACGTGGTGAATGATGTTGATTGGGACGAAGCTCTGGTGGTGCTTGTCTGCGTAGACGCTGAGCCGCAGCATGCCGAGCCTTTCGTTCGTTTTCATTCACGTCACGCTGCGGTCAAATGCTCAAATGCGCATATAACCACGTTCCATACCACACATTCTCTTTCTGACATGAATGAAAACGAACTTAAGGCTCGGCATGCTGCGGCTCACCGTCTACGCAGACAAGCACCACCAGAGCTTCGCCCCAATCAACATCATTCACCACGTGGAGATGCGGTTTTTTTGTTTTTTTTTGCGATACACGAGAACGGGAGCACGTGCTCACGTGCTCGTGAGCACGAGCACCCGACGCCGGACATCGGACGGACATACGGACATGGCTAGCCCCTAAGGAGCTTAGCCCCTAAAAGAACCAAGCACAGAAGGCACCCAGGCACCCGGTAGCAAAATCTGCCTGTCTTGGACGCAGTTTCTGCGGTTTGCATAGCGTCGCCAACGTCGACACGTCGTTCCGCAATCCGGAGGCGGCCATTGTAGTCCCGTATACGTAGCGCTGCTGACACTGCTCCTTAACTTCGCAGTTGTTCACTGCTTCGTTTGCTCGTTTGATAAAATTAGTGGTAAAAGCGTCAATGCAACCGAAATATTCCGCACGCTTGGGCTGGGAGACGGAATTACAGGCGGCCTTCACTGCAGCTGAAGCTCAATCAACCCAAGAACATTTATCGGGCAACGCGCGTGACGTGTTCAAAAAACGAAACAGAAGAATGAGGCGGGAGGGCGGAACCTTTCTCCCGTCTGCTTGGAGAAGGAGAAAAACGTCTCGTTCCTCCCTTCTTCTCGTGTCCGCCTGGTGTCGCGTCAGTAGGACGGACGAAAACGCGCCGTTGCTAGCTTTCTCGTCCTTTTTTTTCTTATATTGTAGTTTTAGCGAGGCCCTCTGCCACTGATATCGACTCTGAGAAATCTAAACAAACTATGCCTGAGAGATAAACTCACTGTGGTTTCTGAAAAGGCAGTAACCTGTCGGATGACCACAATAATGAAAGGAAACGTGCAAAAATAAAACAAAACAAAATAGTATTTATGGCTGCGCCCACGCATAGCAGCTGACAAGGGTCTGTAGCATTAAAATCAGTGAAACTAACTGAAAATTGAGCGAGTGCACCATAAAAAAACAAGCAAAAAAACACGAAGCTTTTTAGATGGCACTAGCAAAAGTGGCAACCTCGGAAAAATACGTCCTTTTCGCTTGTTTCACTATTTTATACAAGCGAGGCCCAAGCTACAAGCAAGAACATATGTTCCCCTGAACACGGCCGGACCGGATACGCGCTCGCTGTCTTACGGCCTCTCTAGTGAGGCATGGTAGCACGTACGTTTCCAACGCGGCACTGGCAAATAGTTAAAGCCCCTCTCTCCTGGGAAAAGTGGCACCATTCATTGTTGTAGAAATGCTCGAGACACGTGCCGCACGCCACTTCTGGGAAGAACATGGCGTCTGAAATCTAGGAATACGTGCTGCGCTGTGCCGCCATGATCTTCCCAAGGGCTGCACGCTGCACGTGCCTCGTGCATCGAGGCACCTTGCGCTACTCTTAAAACATCAAGGGGCTTTAGCACATAGTAGGCTCGAAGCGCCACTGGGCGGCCGGGGGCTGCGCCGCGGCGTGGCGGTCGGAGGTGTCACTTTTATTAGCGGCGAGATGTTTCGGTGGCGCCCTCGTATAGTTACCTTTCGTGACGTCATTACCTTGCGAACAACAAGTTCGATGGTGGTTGTAATTAGCAAGGCGGAAGCTTGAAATCATAGCGTTATTGAACCAACACTGTCAACAGCGTCAAAATTGAAGTCCTCACGTTCCTCTTATTTCCGTCCATGAGAACTCCTTTGCTGCCGTCATACTCAGCATTCGGCCAATTGTGGGAGGCCGACCACCGCGACGCTTTCGATCGCGCACGTCGCCAATTCATGCAGTCAAAAATATGGGAGCGCGCGCTTGATCGCTAATCAACGTTGTGCACGCGTGCTCTTTTACTTTTATTTTCAGTGCCACGGAACGTGTTCCCCGAGCGCGGACTCTGGTTAAAGTTCACTCGAAATTTCGCTAAAGAAACAGCGAAGGCATTAATCGTTTGAAAGCTATCGCGTAGCCTGCTATGCCCTATTCTTTGTGCTGTGCTAGAAATGCGGCATGCGCGTTATGTGCTGCTAGATTCTGGGTGACTGGCGGTGAACGTTAATCTTGAGCATGAATTTCAAGGATTACTAGAAAAAGCATAATTACTGCACTGGCCGAAGACCTCAATGTTGATAACTCTCCCCAAATAATGCCACGGCACAGAAATCGTACCGTATGAGCAATTTCTTGCTTTTTTTTAATTTGATTACCATTAAATTAATATTTTCCTAAATGTTTCAGTAAGAGAATAGAGGACCTTACGCACACATTGTACAGGGGTACTTGTTGACAAGAACGTTCGTTTTTTGGTATCTTTCTTTTTCCCGGGGTGCTTAGGGATTCATTGCTGGGTAGCTGGTGGAAAGACACGCCAGAAGTCTTTCCCGATGTTGACTATGCAATTCCGGACACGCCAATACACCACTGGGCCTCGAGAAACAGACCCCTTTGAGTAGCAGGTTGGAACAGCAAGAAGAGTAGTGTGCCAACTCCCATAAGCAAAGAGATAATCATGCTTTCTTTTGTGACGGAAATGGCCGTATGAAAAGAAGCGCGCGAATCCAGTCCAGCTGTGCCCTGAACTGTGTTTGAACTGCACTACCGCACGTGAATGACATGGACTACGATTGCACGGATATCACTCATGTAGCTGCTGCTATGCTCACATGTAATGTGAAACAGTGTGATTGGTCAATAGAGTCAACTCTGTCTGAAAAAGGTCAAGGAGAGTTCACAGTCAGCGCTGCGGGAGGGTTATTTATTTGTGTGGATATATTTCTCAGATTGTGTTGTTCTTGTGCGCTGTGAAGCGTAAGCAGTGTGTAGTAAGGTGTTCAGAACGTAGTAGCTTTTCTATAAGTTTTGCCATTCTTAATGTAGATCATAACTCTAAATCACATTCTTATTTTGACATGCAGATTGCTCCTCCATGCTGTATCAAAAAAGACCTGATGAATACAGCCCAACGAGATCCCTCGCTCTTTTGGGCGGGAGAGACTGCCACCAGGGGCAAGGTGTCCGACCAGTGCCTTTGGGCCGCCTGCAAGGCCATGACCACTGGACTCCTCCTGATCGTCATAGGCGCCTCCATGGCAACCATCGGTTTCTACTCGGACCATCTCTCGACAGTAGAAGAGCGCCGAGGAAACATCACTGTCCTTGTGAAAAACGAGAACAGAGACAAGCACCTGGACAGTCTCACCTACGTCGGACCCCTGGTGATGGGCATGGGCGGCTTCATCATCGTGGCCACCTGCGTCATGACTTTCGAAGCGAGGGATACGTCCTCGTCGTCGGCCAAACTGGTATCGGCCTGGTTCAAAAGAAGCAGGTCTTACGTCGCCCCTAGACCAGAAATCAGCTGCCAAGGTACCAGCGTCAGCGACGTCTCGTGGGAAAGATTCCTCCCTGGCATCCGACACGACTCGACAGTTACCGAGGCCGACCGATCGGCGGTGACCAGCGCCCTCATTAATTTCAGTAAAAACTTGCAAACAAGTTTTGAGTCTGGTCGAGTTCCCCCGTCGGCCGCACCAGAAGTGCCCGGTGGTAGTCCGAGGGAAAAGCTGCAGAAGTGCCAATCGGATCCAAATGTTGTTGCACTTGGCTCTCCGACATTCAGGGTGCCATCGCCGCTTCTACCGCGCGACGAGGTTGACAAGGATTACTTCTTGAGGCCACCGAATCCTCAGCTCTTGAGGGCAAGACCCTTTAATGTGTCACCTCTTGATTATCGAAAGGTTGTGTCGGTTGACTGCGCCTCGCCGCCGGTCATGGAATCCCTCGGCGAGTCTCTGCCAGCCCAATCTCAATCGTCCCAAGGTTCCATGGCCATGGATGTGTATTTTCCGGACGGTGCCGTGACCTTGAAGGTCCAGGACAAGACTAAAGGACACGATTCCTTGAGCAGTAGTCGAAAAGGAAGCAAATCATCCACCACGTCTTCGAAAAGACTGTCCATAGATAATACAGGTTCCGCTGACAGCTTCTGTTCGACGGGATCGGAGGCGTCGAGAAGGTCTAGAACGTCGACTCCCAGAAAGTCGGACGCTTCGAAACTTCAGAGCTCCGTGAGTGTCTCCGTGAGTCCTCGGCACACCTATGGAGAACCTTCGAAAGTGACCCCAGTTCTCACCGCAACCAAATCGGCGACCATGAAGCGCTATCCCTTCACAAGGCAAAAGGCTCTCGAATCTCATCCTGGACATTCGGATGCTTGAATGTGGTGCTTATGCATGGTGTAAATATAATGCACAGTGCTCGAGCCACTTATAAGCCGAGCCCCACCGGCGACTGGTTGTTGTGCGTTTGATGTTTCCAGAGTTTACCAGGATAAGTTAGAGAAATATTTAAAAAGGAGGTGAAGGTTTCCAATGTACAAATATGTGATTCTTTGCACCAAAACCATGAACGTTTGAACAGTCTGTTTGTCACGTGCCATTTCACGTATAAGAATTTCATTTAATAATGGAAAAAATAGGTGTCCCCTTGTCATGAAAAAATTAAGCACGGAAAGCTTTTACAAAATAATTTTCCTCTTAAAAAATGAACAGTAAATTATGCAACAGCTTAAAAGACTCGAAGCTGATGTGCATGCAAAATATGTAACTAACATATGTTGGAGTATTCTCAGTCTGCCTAGACAAATCATGGCGATGGTAAAATGTGTCTGCTAGGTTTCTGATCTCTAACTATTGGCCAGAAAACAAATGTTTTACTTATTTTTTTTTATAAAGCTAAATTTAAAAAAAAAATTGTTAATCTATTACTACAGTGAAAACCGATATCAGAGTTGTAACCAAGGTTAGTGCGAAAGATTACGTCCATGGCTTTTGTAGCCGTTGCAAAGGAGGAAATCCCACAAAATGAGACCTCAAGTAGGAGAGAAGTTTCAATCAGTCTTTCAAAGGAAAAACGTGGAGAAAGCGTCCTTAGCTAGAACCTCCCAGATGTCTCTGCACCTTCCACTTTGTGACTTCGAATCTCTAGGGTCGTTAAAGGATAAAGAGTGCCAAGGCACGCCACTTGAAAAACTCGTCTAAGTAAAAAAAAAAGAAAAAAAAAACCTGCTCTGGTTATCAGGTCGGGTCGCAGCCACAGTGCTGGCCGAATTTTCGCCTCAAGTAATAAGACCAGGACCGGCTGTCTATAGGCAGCATCATTGCTACGACTGTGTGAAAGAGCCTCCCAAGCTTGGTGCGCGCGAGCGCTTGAGATTCAACTTCAAGTGCCCCTCCGCTTATGCACTGGATTTGGCAGGGCTTTCTTTCACAGTGAAAGCCAAGACTCTTTCTGGAAAGTTAGTCCAGGCAATAACTCTTGAACTTGGTTTCGAGCTCAATTTTAACGTAAGCTCCGACGGTTCCTTGGCGCTCTTCAGCAACAACTTACTAACGCTTCTGCCTTGAGAATGATGCGTTCGCATATCTTTGGCACTCGTAGACTTAGATTTACCAAACATATTTCTTTCTAATTAATCTAGACGTGTGCTTACCGCACACATGTAGATAGCTTTTTTCATTGTAGGATGACGTTTTAAATATACCTTTTGGTGAGTCCTTCATGCGGAAGGGGTATTATTGCACAAAACCCAACCCGTCGTTGCATTATATATTTGTGTTATGTACGTAGAAATGTTTAAAAACTTCAAACCCAACTGTCACTCGAAACATATTCGCACTCAAATCCTTGCACCAGGAAGCAAAATATTTCTTTTCCGGACACTTGTGTCATCGAATGACATATCTTTAAGAAAGCGCCACTATTTTTCTACCGCGTCATGGGAACGATGACATACGTTAGACGATTGGATGTGGGGAGAGATTGAAAAAAGAAATATACAACTTCCCCAATGCTCTTGAGGATACTTGGGAACCGCTGAACGTGCCCTGTAGTTGTTCTAAACTCCCAGTTTTAGCGCCCTAAATACAATCACGTGGATGGTGAATGTTAACACTACGTTGCTGCTAAAAATATTAGGTGCCCAATTGTACATATAGGACAAGCTCAAATCGTGCCAATTTACACCTTACCGAAATTGCCGTGACCTGTATGTTATCAAGTCATAAGCACGGATGATATCGTAGTATATACAACAAAATACCGTTTAAAGAATCTAGTGCAAAAAATCCCTCGCAGTTCTGTTCTCTGTGGTTCCGAAGTAGCATTAGTTATTTTTTGACTGCTGGAAACGTATGGTCTGACTTTCGTATGGAGAAAAAGTTTTTTTTTTTTTTTTTTTTACCTCAAGTTAGCATCGTTTTTTGACAGGACATCTCTCACAAAAAAGAGATATATCTCAAGTTCTACAAATACAAGAAATTAAATATGAGAGTAGTGTTACACAACTGCAGTTTTGAGAATAGAGTCTCTGGTGTTCATCCATAATCATGATTCATCTCGAAATATTGATAAAACTAAGATTAAGCAATTCGGTTTTAAGTCGGATAAAAAGACGAACTTACGGTATTTAAAACTACAAGCACTGAATATCGGTTCAGCTGTTTAATTTACTGTTGATGAACCGTTGGTTGCATTCAAGTTGTACGTTATCGCAAATGTAATATCCATTTTGCTGACGCTGGCTTTAATTGAGGTTAACAAAATGTTTTGTTTTTGGAAGTGTTTAGCTGAACAATTTGCTCTCGCATATAAAGCAGTATTTTGTTGGCTCAGTGGTTTTTGAAGTGAAAAAGCAACATCTACTTTTATATTCAATGCGATATTAAAGCTTTGGTCTGAAAAAATATAACCTGCACTGAACACACCCTCACCTTATTGCAGAAAGTGCTCACAGGGTATAACATGAATCAATATATGACAAATGTGTCGAATGCATCTGACATTATTTATACTTACAAGAGACGCAAAATGTTACTGTTCATTTGAAAAAGACCATAGGAGTTCTGTACTTCTACCTTTTTGTGTTTTTCTATTTCAGAATTTATTTTAATGTGAAAAATGTGTTTGTACTAAATCAATGAGCTTTAGCGGTTCGCTGCAAGCTCGTAAAAGCACTGTACAAGACGTTATTTTCGTCTTCCCATTTTAAAAGGACGATGTTATGTCCAATGAAAATACCCACCTCGTAAGTAAAATATAGAACGATTCCAGTCAAATGTGCCCACTGACCCCATACTCGAGAATGATCCACTGCCATTGATAACTGACGAACTGCAAGGCGTGAGACCTTTGCCTACACGCACTCTAAAAATTAGCCTCCGTGTTCGCTTTCCGGCATCGCATTCATGCATCCAATCACAGCAAAGAACAAAATGGTATTCCAGCTAATGACGAAGCTCACAATACCACTAGACTTGAGAAATACAACGTTCATAAAGGCGATGAACATTACGTTTCCTTTGCTAATCCTTGCACTCATCGTGTTAATCTTGTCCAATCTTATTTTGAGCCTCTCCATTAGTTATTAGCCTCTTATCATTTACAGTGATTTGCTATTTCGGTGCTTTGGAAGAGAGTCAACGCCCTGACCCTCTTAGGATGTAAACAAAGAATGGCAATAAGCTTTATCTCCAAAGTCATATGATGCATTAAATGCAGCATTTGAGGAGCAAGCGATCAAATTTATTTAGAATACATCAAACAGCCGTTTCGGAGACTGAGGAACCCTTATTTTATCAATCTAGCAGGGAGACTCACTTGCTGCATAGGTTATGCGACATGAATATCCCCGTCAAATTAACGGAGAAATTGAATTGGTGTACACGTCGCGTAACGCCTCCTCAGTGGCGTCAATATTCCCTGCAAATGTAGAGGGGGAACTGAAATGGCGCAAAGGTAACACGGCCTCAGGTCACATGACATCAATGTTTTTCATTAAATTTAAAAGGGAAACCTAATTACGGTATAGCTAACGTGACCTCAGTTTTCCAGCTTAATTTATCGGGAAATCTCAATTGGTATTAAGATTACGTTATGCCAATTTCACACTAGTCATGTAGTAGGAAATGCACGCGCCGGCAAAATTTACAAGTTTTGGGACGGTGTACGCTAGCAAGCACTTTATTCTTTTATAAATCAGCACATGAATTTTTAACAATAAATAAGCTGAATGAAAAACCAGCAGTGGAGCAAAAAATATTAATGCAATTGGAAGAATCCCGAATGTTTCCTTTAAAGTGATTCTTGTCCCAAACATCTTAAGTATGGGAGTAATCTAAAGCTAAACCTCCGCGACTTTGTGACGCACCTGAGGCATTTGAGTATGCATTTTCTGAAGAAATAACTGAAAGTTCGTTGCCCAAAAGCAAGTGGCAGTCATAAATATATTACAAATGTTGTCATATTTTGATACGGTGAATTACGTAAGGAACCAGACGGATAGTGAGCATAAAAGAATCCATCCTACATCCATCACTTCTGAAGCTACTTATAACCAAGTCACCACTACTAGTGGATTGGACAAAGTCAAACAAACGTGAGATGCAAGCAAAGCGAGGTAGACTTAACAGGGATGTCGTGCTTTTGAAATGAACGTATGCCCAAATGTCATAAGCGTTTTGTTTGTTTGGGCTCAGACGACTCTTCACAGAAGGAAGTGAGAAACAAAAGATGAAAAGAGACATGTTCGCCCTCCACACCAACACAAAAGGTTTATCAATATATGTGCCCATAGGTCCGGACGTATTTTTACCAGTTTCCCCTTTTGATATGCCTATACCTCTTTACAACCGCACGCCTTGATCCTAGATGCTAGTCACTTTGAAACCCTTTACATGCGTCTCTAGTGTCACGATCAAATAAAATCCTGAGTGAACCACGTGTCTCTGTCTCATTTCAAACCTTTATTTTTGTAGCTATAAGGAGTTTATGTACATGGAAACCCCGCAGCGGAGTCAGGTAAGAAAGTGACAGAGATTCAAGCACCCGTCGAGTTGATCACTATAATTAAGCGTGATGAAACCCTGCCTAAGATCAGTTTCTTTCTTCTTTTATTATTATTTTTTTTTTTGCTTTTAGAAATTTTGTTGTAATGTGGATTTGAAGCACTGTGTGTTGATGAGCTCAGGAGGATTCGATAGTAATAAAAAAAAACGTTAAAAATGAACGACGTTTACAATTCTCTGTTATGTCGAATTTGAGCGCAGTTCTTGAGAGGAGGAGGGGAGGGTACGGAGTGGAGGGTCACGTGTGATGTCAGAGTGACGTCACATGTAGCGTAAAGAAGGTAAATATTTTCCACTAAGCTTAGCGGAGAAAT